CGGTAAGCTTATTCTGGTATATCTGGTATTGCTTGTATATCCGGTATTTCTTCTTCTGTTGTGTGAGTATCTTGCTGGTATTCTTTCAAATAGTTTTTTAATTCAAATCATGGCATTTTGTGAACTTTGGATTGAGTATGCTAACAATAAAGCTGAACGTACATGAATTTTTAACAGAGATTGAACAGGGTGTTGGCGTGGCAGCACCCTATTAGCGTGTTTTTTTTTCCATCGAATGCTAACTTGTCAATTGTATTTCCTGTTAAAATTCTGTAAAATCTTCATGTACTTGTAGCATTGTTCGTATGCTAATACTATTTGTTTTACTAGGTTGCTTCCCTCGAGGATATAATACGATCAATGAAGGTGAATTTTCTTTCTATTTTATTATAAATACAGATTCTCTTTTTTTATGAGCTTTTGAAATATTATCGAAAAATAATATAAATATTTTGCAGGATAATTCAACATCAGAGTGGAACAATGCTTTTTTCGAATATCCTGGTGAAGATATTGGAACTGGTCCATCACCTCATATGGAGAGGAAAAGGGCTGAAAGTGTAATATTCAATCCCTGACCTAATAAATGGATTAGGAATTTCTTTTTTCGATTATTTCACTTCGAAGTAATTTATCCTTAAAGAAAAATCTTTCATCTCTAGGCATTTCGATGTGTAACAGAGTGTGAAGAGTCGATATTGAATTATTCAAGTTGTTATGTCTCATTAATTGGTAATGTTCTTTCAAAGAATATTTATTATCAAAGTAGGGTCAGGCGGTGGCATGGGTCAGGTGACCCCCAACATTTTTTACATCGTTAATGGTGCGCGAAACGAACAAATGTTACGACTTGTCAAAGTGGGTCGTTGCAAACTAGTATTTTGAGAATTTCTATAATATGCTAACTTTAAAAATTCTCCGACGATCTTATACTAACCGAATTCACAAATTGTCTATTTCATCTCGAAGCTCATTTTGTGAACTACATCATAGACATATCAAATAATCCAAACAAATATTGAAAATAGTTAAAGATGCGTCAAACTTGGGTCTTAAAAAAGAGATATCTAACTCGTTTTTTTTTTTTTTAAAAAAATCAATTATTATTATTTTTGCGATATAAATAAGAGTTATATTAAATGTAGTAAACTAATTCTTTAAAAACGTGGTATATGACATCAAAAAATTTCGAATTTTACATCTGAAAAAGTCGGACCCCTTGTAAATTTTTGAATGTAAAATTACACAGAGTTTGATTTTTTGGATGAGAATTTTCGAATGTAAAATTCTTCACAACTTTTTTATAAGTTTGATTGTACATCCTAACGCAAAATGCTCGCATCTACCCCTGGACCCCTGAGTAGAGTTACCTTTATCGTGATGTTTAACGAAATTGCTTCAACCTAGGACGATGTTCATAAGTTGTGTTATTTGAGTTGGGGTATCCTGTTAACACCATGTCCCATAATCTATTTTGATCATCAGAAAACTTTTCCCTCATAATAATGGGGAATGATAATGCAAAGCACAAGAGTATACGCCATAATTCCTTGAAACCATGAAGGTCGGATTGTGGCACACAAAGAACTAAAAGAGACATAGTCTAAAAGATAAAGCCGATCACAAGGGACACATTTATTTATTTAGGATGGAGTCGTCAACACTTCCATAATCTCATGACAAGTCGGCACAAACAATGAAAAGAAGAATTAAGAGCACAGAATTTTATCAAAGCCCTTCCCAATAAATTGAAATATCAAACGAGGACTAGCAAATCCATGTCTCCTTTCTGACGCTACAAAAGTAAAGGCCTATTCATGATAAAGGCAAGCATTGCAATAAACAGCACTCACCTTGGTAGAGATGTGCACGCGAAGCAGAAAATGTAGTGATCATCCAGCACGTTTCTTTCATTTCCAGAAGAAAACACGAAGCATCCAATGCCTACAGTTGGAAGAATTTGAAAGCGACAAGTAGCCCCAAGCTCATGATGAATAGGAACAGCTCCCCATGTTAACAATTATTGCAGTTTTTTTGAGTCGGAAGTTTTTCCAGAATTACAAGATTTCGATTTGCTACCAAATGAGAAAATCTTTAAGATCAATTTATCCATCTCTTTTTCCTTTTTCTCATACACGACAAAAGCAAGAAAGGCAATGGAAACTCCTGTACAGTTCAAAGACAATAACCAAATGGCAACTGGTGTGAGATCTTGGACTTCACTTCAGAGTTTATTTGGTACCCTCATTAAACACGTGTGCGCGCACAAACTCAAAATATACACTTACAGAACCATTAAATCAAAATGTCAATTGCATACAACTGGATAAACTGGATGACATGTTCCCACACAAACAGAGAGTGCATACCTACAACGAACATATTGTGAAAAGAAACAGCTCCAAGGATACTGAGAGCCAATAGAGAGAGAACAACTTGTTCCACGACCAGATTTAGAATGAGAAAAAATTGGTTGATGACATCCCAATCACAGTAAATGCATTGTAGAAGTGCTTCATATAAAAAAAAGTGAGCAAGTCGACTACAAGTTTTTAATATTCTTTCTGCTGGTGAGAACCTGAGTCACCAATTTACTTTAATCGTACTCCTATTATCATTTTTCTTTAGCTCGACTTACAGGCAGTTCATGGATTTATAAAATTAACATCAACGTGCAATGCCTATATCCATGATGATGGTGTACAGTAAATACCCCACTCATTCTACTTTAAAGCAAATTACTCTCCTAACCTGTTCTCCCAAGAAATTTGCCATGTCCATTCAATCTAAAGCTACCTCTTCTAGAAAAGCCACCATGAGTTCGTGTTACTTTTGGTTTAGTCATCACTCTCCTAACATGATCTATTGGGATTGCATTGCTCTCAATGTATGATAGCGTCTTTCCATCTACAGAAGACACACCTTAACCATCTAAGTTAATGTTATCTGAATTTATCCACAATTAATGCCACCTCCCCTTTTGCAGTACAACATCATATCATAGTTTATCTAATCTATAATTATCACATATCCACTTTAATCTTCTCATTATGATATATTCATCCTATGAGCATTTTATTATTTAATTGCTCAATAATCAATATCATAAAAAAGAGCTTGTCCAATATTTCATCCTATAAAACTTCTATTTTAAGCCCCCGTTTGGTAGGCATTATTTCACAAGAATGTATTAAATGTGTCAACTCATGAACAGTGGATGGTACCAGCAAATGTCAGGTCTTTGAAATGACATCCATAATTTTCGAGTTTGCCCTCCTTCCCTATTGAGATTTAAATGCCACTGTTTTCTGTTGGAACGTACAATTAAAAAAAAAATGGACGTGGAAAACTCGTATTTTTCAGCTACTATAATTCCTTTCACTTCATTTTTCATAGTAATTGTCACAAAATGTGATAATTTTTTTTTATCCATCATAAATACAATCTCATCCAACGCGAGTAAAAAAAAAAATTGACGTAAATTACAAAAAAAAAAAAAAAA